TATCTTGTTTTTTAAAGTACGAGAGCAAATTGTGAAATCAAGATCTTTGAAAATTTTTTATTTTTCTTATGTACTTTATTTATCCACCTTTGATTTTGAAACAAATCTGACCCTATTTGTACACTAAATTCGTAGGTTAAAGAGATTATTTTACACAAATCGCGTTAGAAATATATCTTGTTTTTTTTTTCCCTTTAGATAGTATCAAAGATTGTCGTTAAGCCGTCATATTTAAAGTTTAAGATTTTTTAGAAAATAGAATTTTAATATTTTTACGTAAAAATAAGTATTCCGTTTTTACGTCCCTAAGCGATTTGTTTCATGTATTCGCAATGATACATTCGAGTCGAGATTCTTTCACAAATTATAGAAATGAACGAAGAAAAAGGCTATTTATATGCAACTAATTTTAAAAATAAATGCCATACTATTTACAATGAAAATAATGTCTCTCGAATTTTCATTCTTTTTCTTTTATGTTCCTCAATTATTATTTAAGTTATCTGAATTTAATTATTATCTTTGATTATAACTTGATTCTCGCACCATTATTAGCCTTTCACTAAAGACGGGCAGATAGATCGAGATCGAGATCGAGATCGAGATCGAGAGAGAGAGAGAGAGAGAGAGAGAGAGAGAGAGAGAGAGCGAGTGGGGGTGGGGGACGAGATAAAACAGTGCTTTTATATCTGTTATACCGTTTATCGTTAACTTCAAATTAAATTAAAATGTGAGCAAATTTAAATTTAAGCTTTAATTTTATTGTTCAGCGGCAGTCGAGCACATTGCTAATACAAGCTACACACCATCCAATAATACACCATCACCCATCCAATACAAGGAGAATGCGATCGGTGCTCGAGAATCGAGTGCAATCGATATTCAATACGCGTGATATTGTCACGCAAGCGGCCTAGTAAATGTCGAAACCAACGTCTTTTCAGACTGCCTTTACGCGCACAGCCTAAAAAGGAAGAGAGCCGGGGGTGGGGTAGTAGGTGGTCGTAGCTTCGTTATCCCAACAAATTGCTCTTGTCATCACTGGAAATTACGTTCTTAGTAATAACATTACAGGTCGGGCATTTGTAGCGGATGAGCCGCTCCCCGTCCCCCCATCGCCCCATCGAAAGGTCAGCCGGCGTAAATAAACGAGCAAATGCGCAAAACTCCTATCCTCCTACCCATCCTCCGCACCAATGGAGGAGCTGTAGTTGCAGGAAATGCAGAGGATAAAGCGTCGCGTAATCCAGGACCGCGACGGATGAACGCCGCTGGCTGCAACTCTGACGGATAAGGGATGCTGGGATTGACATCTGTGCTCCAACCTTTTCATCGGCTGCCTCGGTCAACGAGTCACTCGCTCGCTCTGATGTGCGCACGCGGATGGCACGAGTGAATCCACAGTTGGCCTACCGACGAAATAGACAGACATTACCCGCTCGCCTCCTCTACCCACTTGGAAATCACTCGCATTCATTCAATGTCGGTTTAGTGCATAAGCGGACACTTGCTTCGCAGAGCAAAAGTCGAGCCAATTTTCTAAATATTCTTTATTTAACGCTCCATGTAAATTGTACACACGGACCGCTGATTGGTGATATCGATTCTCCATTCTAAAAAATAATAATAATTGGAATCTCGGCTATCGGCGTTGTTTGAGGACGATATCAGAGACGGAGATGCGATTGGGATTGGGGGTAGGCTTTCCGCCGAGATGTCCGCGTAGAAGAGGGCGGTCGAGTGGATGAGCCGGCGCTTTGTCATCGGCACTTGATCCACCGGGGGGCCCACGGTATCAGCGCGCAGTCGAGGTCGAATGGACCGATGGCAAAATTCTTGCCTCGGCTCTCCGTTTTATCCCGTTTTTCCCACGCGATCCCGAGTGGGAGTCTGGCGTGGAAGCGGCATCGAGAGAGGGGGAGAGGGTCCTCGCGATTAACTCAACCGGAAGTTCGGATCTTGGCGATCGTGATAACTGGGCTGGAAGTGCAAGTCAATGCGGCTCCCGTCGAGGGTAAATAGACGAGTGGGTAGCCGTTGGTCCGGTCGTTGCCACTATTGAATTTCCTCCGTTCCGTCGCTACTTTTTTCTTAGCGTGTGTGTAGAAAATGATGATAAGAAGCGACTCTTATTTATAGTTCTCGGGGACGGGTGATAATACCTTCAACGCCCGACTATTGTACGTCCTGGTATATAGTGATATTTGACTAGATGCTTGGATGTATTGGAGTGTTTAGAGACTGTTGTTGTTGTTGAGAGTTATTTTGTGTTTGAGAGATTAAGGTTTTAGCTGTTATTGAGCTTCGGGCATTGTTTACGAACAAAATAGTTATCAAAATGTCAAATGCTTGGTTGAAGATTTAGAGGAAAATTGTATATTGGTGTTGTAATAAGTGATGGAATACTAACATTTAGAGTTACCGTGACATTAGTTTCGAATACGTTTGATGGCCATTGAATGTCGAACCTAATTTCTAGGCAATTCAATAGATATACAACAGGCTTATTGTTTTAATCTTGATAAAAATAATATGACGTCAAACTATGACCGACTTGAAGTATTTCAAAGCTTATTTAATATCAGGGATCTTTATCACTCGTGGCCGTAAAAAATGTTTATTTTGAATATTTAGAATGATTGAGAAATCATTAATATTTAGGTAGGCGAAGAAATAGATCTGCGCTCGTTTCGACGATGTACCGCTGATAAAATAAAATAGCTGCCTCTCTCTTGGCATCGATAAACTCAAGGAGCTGCGATTAGGTTTGCATGCAGTTTTTGGAAATATTTATATAAAATTGCTGGATAATGTGCTGGCCAGAGAGATAATCAGAGAGAAAATCAGTGAGAAAATTAGGAAATTAGTTGCAAATAATATAGATTTGAGTGAATTTTTGTAGTTAATCGAGATTGAAACATCCATATTTTATCCTTATTTAAGAGCACTTTCGCTACATTCGCTATTTTATGCGAGAGGAATATATGATTTGTACGCACGTTAAAAGCGAATTGTAAACAATAATATTTGATTCACTCGCTTATAAGTACTTAATGCATTTAATGGCATTTTCAACGTGTCAAAGCTGTTTGTTTTTTATCTCTCCTTTCTCTATACTTTGTTTGAAGATTTAACTGGTAATGAATTTAAATTTCATCATTAGAGAGAATGGAAATTCAATAGAGTCGTAAAAGATTCGAATGATTTATTTGCCAAAAGTACGTTAAAAAAAAATTTTTTTTGTTTTTGTTTTGTTAAATATTAGCGTTAATGTTAAAGGAAACTTATCATCGCATTACGAAAAATAAGTGCGATAGATCATATCCCATAAAAACCTATAAAAATGTTCGGACAATTATTTAACTAAATATAATATGCATATTCGGAAAATATCTCAACAACACTTTGGATTCTCGATAATAATTCATTGGGGAATATGAATTATTGACTGTGTAAAAACTATTATTTTTCTTATACATTCCCGTTTATGTTCGAAACAATGTTAATATTGGGAGAATATTTTAAAATAATGAAGCTAGGAAGTAGGTAATTTATATAAAGAATCTAGTATAAAATTTTCAAAAAGGTTTCCTATACTTTACAGATTTTGCAAAAAAATCTTTATTTATTTCCAGCACATGAGATCGTATTTATAGATTGGTAGCGATGGAAATACATTAAGAGTTGGGACTTCACTTTCAATTTACGAGCGTTTACTTTTCTACTTCCACCTAATCAGCTACTGCGTAAAATTATGACCAAAGTGAAATTGGTATTTGCCAAAAGATATAGCGTACACATCGATGAAATTCATATTTACTACTGTACGTTCAATAATAGAATGGGCAAATGCAAAAAAGTTGAGAGAGAAAAATTAATCTGTCAAAATCGACAAATAATCACTCAATACGTAATAACAATAACAACGATAATAATAATAACAACAACAACAACAACAACAACAACAACAACAACAACAACAACAACAACAACAACAACAACAACAACAACAACAACAACAACAACAACAACAACAACAACAACAACAACAACAACAACAACAACAACAACAACAACAACAACAACAACAGACACAACGTACGTGCATTGATACGCACGTTGATCTTTCAAAAAATTTTTCTTTCTTTAATTTTTTAAAAATATTTTTATTACAACTAATTGTTGTAATAATCTGTAAAATTATTGTAATTAAAATTCTAATTAAAAGCTGTTAAAATGTTGAAACGAGTTTATCGCGTCTTTCTATGTAATCGCTTCGTGATATTTTACAATCGATATTCTACGTAAATATACAAGTAAAGTTAATCACAGGAGTTTGGGAAATATTTTTCTCTCCAAATGACATTTCGAGGGAATTCAGTTTCTGGAATTTAACGGAAAGTAAACTCGTCAAGAATATTGGTTCAAAGCTTTCATAAGTCACATCGTGAAATTTAACATAGAGAATAAAAAGGTGAAATTCAGCTCCTTTGAAATTCGTCGCAACTAGTGCTTTATCAATGGCTCATGAACTATAATAAAATCATCGTAAAAAATAAAAAGAAAAAAAGAAAACTCGAATACGTACGGTCCGGAGAAAGTCCATAATTCACAATGTAAAAGATAAAAGCCAGTAAGTCAGAATATTTTGTTAATCACTGGGCGTCGCATTAATATCCTATGATATATCGTTGCCTCCGCTGCTCTATTCTGCTTATCGTCTACCTTTTTCCACAACAATCCCTCGCCACCGTCCTATTCTCGACGAAAGATACTCGTTAAAATAACAACACAGCTTCTAAGCCGCAGTAATTCAATCTCTGACATTTTGAATCAAATGTTATTAGTGTATGGGAATCCAGACCAGTTGCATAACCCCTTCATGTCGAGTTTACTATCGACCCCGTAAATCCTGCCATCCTCCCCCAAAGCACTTTTCTCGGCAAACGAGCATCTAACGATCATCAACTTCTCGCAGGATATCGAGGAGCAGCAGGGTGATGGGGGCGTTGGGCGCGTGCAGCCTCCTCATGCTGACGAGCTTGGCCGCGGGTCTGAGCTTCGGCATCCGGCAGAGGAGTGTCGTGAAATTGGCTGTGATAGCGCCCGCGGATCCCCACCACGAGCAGAGCCTCCCACGACTGCTGCCCGCCGTCCTTATGGCCGTGAGGGCGGTGAGCGCCCCGAGGGGTCCCCTACCCGGATGGAGCATCAAGGTCGAGCACCGGGACTCGCAGTGCTCGAGTACCTACGGGCCGCTAGCCGCATTCGACTTCTACATAAACAGGACCGCAGGTTAAGACCTTTCACATTCTAGGCCTATCGAGATTTTATTGCGCCGATCGATTATATCGTTGGCTTTGTTGCGAATCGCCCGAGGAGACGATCCTACTGTTGCGTGCACCGTAATATCGATCGATAACATGCGCTCTCTGTCCTTCCTTCCTTTCATTCAAGATATCAGATTGCATTCAAGTACGGGCGGTTTGGGCGATGGTTTAATTTTTATTACTTGGCGACAGTTATCGATTAGCGGATGATATTCTCTCGGACGTTATTTACCCGAGTTTCGCATCATTTGGATTTCAATGGAATCGGAAATATTTGACGAGCGACCGAGTGCTGACATGGAACATATGAATGTAAATGTAAAATATTTCTTTCGCTAAACAGACGGCGAACAGATATATATCGCATAAGATTTACATAAAAACATACTGTTTAACGATACATTATTAGGCAACTACATGATAATTATATTTATCCTGGTAAAATTATCTGAAATTATGATCTAACGGTACATGTTAAATTACAAACGTCAATTTCATTTTATTATAAATGTATCTACTGTATATCGATAATAAATTAATGCAATACTCGCAGTTTCAAATTAGTTAATAATTTTGATTTTAGTGTTGAGAAAAAAAAAATATCTCGCTTACGTTAGCTTATGATATTTCATTTTCCCCCTTTTAAACATATTCCATCTTTACATATATATTTATTTTTATTTACTAGAGTATTTACAAATTATCAATGCAGTTAGAGTAATAAAGTTATAATTGATGTAGCGAAATTGGTTATATTTTTCATCGTATATAATTTCAAGAAAACCGAGATCAATTTTGTTTAAATTTTTTTTTTTTTTTTTTTTTTTTTTTTTCATTATGAATGATAACTTTTTCTCTATTTATATTAGTTATCCACTAATATTCTACGCTCTTTTATCATATAATATTGAACGTTATTTTAATCGACTTCAATGACGAAATTATTCAATACGTACTTTTTTTTTTAAATACATAGACACGTAAAAGAATTTTTTACTTTTATTTCGATTATAAATATTCTATAATAAAGTGATAGTATAGAACCTTTATTTATTTTAGTTTATCATTTATACTTGCGCAGTAGTTAACTTTTTCAGTTAATTCTTTAATTGTTAGAGAAATTGCGGAATAATGAATATTTCCTTATGGAATTATATATAAAGTGCTACTCATCTATTATATATATATATATATAGAATTAAAGAAAAATGTTCCCATATTATTAAGCATATCAATTAATTATTAGTGTAAAGTTTAGGTAATAACCGTAGTGCAAATTGATACATCTTAGTTATGAAATAACTTAAGAACTACGTAATTCAACCTGAAATCCATATATCGAAAAGCCATAATACCGAGCCGTGAAATTTCCTTCAAGAGGAAGTACAAGTTGCTTCAGATACATTAATAATAAAATAATTAAGTGCTACGATAAATTAAATAACAATTAAATACATTCTACAGTACATTGATTTAATGACATTAATTTAGTTGATATTTAGCTATTAAATGCAACAAATAGCGGTAATTCAAGGAAAGAAATGAGCACTTTAGGTAAATCATAATGATGATTAATGTTTCAATATCCATAGTTTTTGTTCTAAAAAATCTTCGATTCTATATGTGTATGACGATAATAAATTAAAATAATGAATTACGACTGCAATTGTGAACATGAACATGATTATAATATATTATGGATTTAAAAGTATACGTATAAGATATAGATGTAAAACTATTGAAAAATATGGCTTTTCTTAAAAATTCAAGTGTTATAAATGTAAATGACAAATTGTTAGTGCAAAGCGCTGCGAAAAAAGGTTTTTACATAGATGTATGATTTAATTAATAACCGATCGTTTGCACTATTTTATTATCCTTTATTAGCTTCATTCAACCGTTTTTGTTGAGAGATCGAAAGAACGACGATTTATTGAACATTGGTATCATATAATTCATAATAAACTATAAATTAAACATTATTAATCCAATGTATATAATGAATTTATCTTACAATTTAACTTATTAATCTGTCCATATCACATTATTGTCTACAGTATTTCACAATTTTTGTCAACCTTTTAAGAAGAAAAGACACTCAACAGTAACAAATATCTTGCATCTATTCATTGATGCATATTCGGTGCATCAATAAAATTACAATTTTTTGTTTTGTAAACTGTTGGATTGTTCGTTCCTTTATGTTTCGCTTTATTTCTTCTTTTTTTTTCTTTTTAATTACGTATGTAACATATGACATAAGAGCCCGATTTGTCGTCCCGCTTGTGGTGCTGAATAATGGAATGCGTACAGCGTCGCGGCATCGCCGGTTTCGAAGATAATCTCATCACTCTGTTCGCGCACTCAATTTTTTATACGCATACATATAAATTCAAATTGAGTCCTATACGTACGATTTATCAAGAATTACGGGGGCAATTAATTCGCGACGGGCCGTGTAATTAATATTGCAGGCGGTTGCCGTTGAAGTTCGTTATGGACGTCGCGCGCGGTATCTGACGTATTCCTTTTGGCTTTAATGCGCCGCGAAAGAATGCGGTTTGTGTATGTCTTATGTGTATGTACGGCAAAAGGGGAGATGGATAGGAGTGGATTATTGAGAGGCAAGTGCGAGAGTGTGGCTGCCAAAAGGAAGAGGATAGCGATAAATGGAGATAATAGAAACGATGAGGGTATAATAGTAATTGGCCGGGCGAATGGCGATAAACATGTAGGCCGGGGGGAGGAGGGGGGGGGGGGGGGGGCGATAAAAAGATTGGGATTTTATATATTGAATTTTCTGCGTTATTATGTTGAATTTAATGGCAATGCGAATATCAAGTATAATACAAGTGGGCATCGCTGTTTCTCTTTATTCCTGAAAATGGTTCAACAAATCTACATTTTCCCACATAAAAAAGCTATGCTCGATTTATTTCTTCAACTTCAAAGAGATTTAAGTAATGTATGGGTTGAATATCGTGCTCGTACTATTCAAAGTTACGTATTACGCTTAATGTAAAGATATTTCTATACAAACTCTGTTGTCAGCCCTTTATATTTAGTTTTTTATTCCATAAATGGGCCGAAGGAGTTTGTTAATTTTTTAATTCTGTATTACCGAGAATTATTAAATGAACTGTAAAAGTGTTTTGCGCTCCTTTAATTGCCGGTTAATGTTAATACCGTTGATTAATGGCGCGCATAACATTTGCTCAGCTTAACAAATTTATTCGAAGGTTTGTTAAATTATTCAAACGTAGTAAGTTATCCTTTGGTTGCTTTTTTTTTTCTTCTTTAGCGTATAAAGTACGAGATATGTAGCTCAGCGTGTAATTTTGTACGTGAACTATGACTTTGAATATACTTTACGATGAGATGGGATTATTCGAGTTTGTAAGCAATTTATGCATTAAAAAACTACTAAATGTCCTCTAAAATTACAGCTCCCGCAGGGAATTACAAATTTTATACAATGGCAAAATAAAGAAAGAAAAGAAGCCCATTGCATAAGATGTTAAAGTAGCAGTAAAGAGGCTTACGCGCGAATAAAACGTCTTTGGGAGAGAAATTGAAAAGGCGAATCTTGATTATGAGGCGGAGTAAAGAAAGTCACTATTTTTGCGGACTTGATGTCATCGAAGAGTGCAGCTGCTGCATGCAGTTCGTTTACTTTCTCAATTGTAGTCAAATCCTACGCGACGACGGCTCCTTAAATGCTCGTATTTTAGCTCGTCCGGTTAATTAGTACGGAGCACACAATTCGTCTCTATATACGAGAGAATTGCCTGTAAGTGTACGTGTGCGCGCGCTTTCAGTCAGTTATTGAACTCTCGTGGCGCTCTTTTTCCTCATTTGAGCGCGAAATCATAAATGTACATTCGAAGTGGGTATCGTTGAATATAATAATCTTTTTTAAGTACGAATGTAATTAGCATATATCCGAATGAAGTTGTATGAATAATTGTCCAAAATTTTTTTTTTTTTTTTTTTTTTCGAGAATACCGATTAAGTGAATATATTGTTTTTCTGTATATTCGTATTGAAATTATCCGTTGAAAAACTAGGGCTTTAGAACATTTTATTTATACAATTAATAATATGTAATGAGCAATCAATATATGCAAATAATATTTCCGCAAAAGTGTCAAATTAATGGGATATGTAAAATTATACACATTACACTTATTTCATAAAATATGAATTTACGATACTTATTTAAATCCATAATTATGTATAGATTAAGTAACAAGTACACGATTAAAGATTTTTTCAAGGTTTCTTTCTATTTATCGTACTCGCGCTAATGATGTGTATCCTGATATTAATGGGTAAAAACCTTTTAGAGAGAAATATAAATAAATAGGCCCGCAAGAAATATAATCGCATTTATTATATTTTCAAATCTATGCTGATTGTAGGAAAATATGGGAGAATAATGAATATATATGTGGATATGTGATATTTAGTATTTGAAAATTCGTTCAGTTTCAACCATTAGTTCTGTAAATCTTGGCGATTTTCCAAATAACTTGGGCAATAAATTTAATATAATTTACAGAAATTTTCATATGTTCAATGATAAAAATAACATTGGGTTAACTAAAATTAAGGTACGAGATAAGTTTTAAAAACATGTGCATGTAAGACCTTTTCATCATACAGTTTTAATCTTTCAAAAGACCATTTTCAAAATATAATTTTGAATAGTGATTTATAATAATAAAGTATTACAAACTTATTAATTTAATAAAGACTAATTAACAAAATATATCGTGGCACTTTTACGGTACGTAATTGAATAAATGATAAAACTTAAATTTTCTCCATTTATTCACGAGCCAGTCTAACTTATTGGCAATTTATGCAATAATTTTCTTTTTTTCATTATTAAAGGTCGAGCTTGCAATTTCATTTGACATGATACTATAATTTTTATGAAATGCTTGAGCGATTTGTAGCTGT